AGATTGCGATAAAGGAACACCCAAATATCGAACAGGAAAAATACCTAGCTTAAAGGGAAGACATTCTAGGATAGCCTCCTTAATGTTGGGAGGAACATTATCTCTAATCGTGATAGAGTTCTTTGGGGAGATAATTATACTATGTGTTCGGATTTTACAGTGGGTAAGGCTTGGGCTTCCTTGAAGGGTAATCATCCTGTGATCCCTTGGTCTAAATCGGTTTGGTTCTTGGGTCATATTCCGAAGCATGCTTTCTATTTTTGGTTGGCTTGTCAGAGACGGCTTCCGACTCAAGGCCACTTACATTGGAAAGATGAGCCCCCAGGTTTGGAGTGTTCGCTTTGTGGTCAATGTTTGGATAATCATGATCATTTATTCTTTCAATGTTCGTATGCTGGAGCAGTATGGACTAGTGTTTTACTTATGGTGGATATGTCGGGTATGCCTTCAAGGTGGGAACAGATTGTTCAAGTTATTTCAGATCCTAATACTCGTCCGAAACTGTNTTAATGGGTATAACACGGGTCTGTTACTTTTATTCGAGTCAATTTGATCAAAATGACACTAAATGGGTCATAACTAATCTGATTAGACCCTAATGGGTTTATAGGCCCATTTCTGCATAAAAGGAGTCTAATTAACACAAAATGACACTAATTTGGTCATACTTAGTTTGATCAGGCCTTTTTTTTTTGAACGGAAACCAGAAAATTTTATAAACTTAAAAAGGAGATACAGCAACTAAATGTTTGACCACACCCAAACAACAAGAAAACCAAAAGACTTGGCCAGCACACCATACCAAGCCACCAAGAGCCAAAAGGAACAAAGCTCAACAGACCCCAACAAACAACAAAAAATAAAAAACAGGAGCTTAACAATCAGAAAAGCTCCATAATCCCACCAAAGATCCATTGTGGCAAAACAACACGTGACTCACCTCTTCTATCCATCCAAGCCGCACGAGTGGAAATCGTGTTATGTATAATCTTGATAAGTTGCAAAGTAGTGCGGCTATCCTCAGTAAAAAGTCTTCTATTCCTTTCTTGCCAAATATAATAAACATAATGTAACAACCCTCATATTCCTTATACACATAATTCACATCATCATACTCATAATACTAAAACAGTATTATTACAAAACATGGACTAACAAAAATGTATCTTCAATACATATACGAACAAACTATTATCATCATTTATACTTTTCCTTTGCCTTTATCTTGCAAAGTATGCTGACCTTCAAAACAGGTTAGTCCAATAACTGAGCGTTAGACCAAAAGATCTAGTGAGTGTATATATCTCATACAAAAAATATACATTCCAAACAATCAGTTTAGAATCAAACTTGTTCTGAAACATAAACATATTTATGTTTCTCACTCGCGGTTACACTGTCATTTCATTACTCTCGCGGTTACACCGCCATTACATCTCTCTCTCGCAGTTACACCGCCATTTCATCTCTCTCGCGGTCACACCGCCATTTCATCTCTCTCGCGGTCACACCGCCATTACATCTCTCTCGCAGTTACACCGCCATTTCATCTCAAAAACATTTCAAAAACTTTCTATCTCTTTATCCGGACTTGAAGTCCGGTCAATCTTGTCCGGATAACAAGYCCAGTCAACTTTAACACTTGAATTTTTGTTAACATCTTTGTCCGGATTACAAATCCGGACAATATTTCACTTTCTTAGTTAACCGGTTTAAAGTAAACCGGATGATACATGGCTCAACCATTGACCGGTTTAAAGTAATCCGATCAATACATTACTCAAATTCTGAGCGGTTTAAACAATATCCGGTCACCTCTTGGCCGGTTTAAAAGATATCCGGTCACCTCTTGGCCGGTTTAGACAATACTCCGGACAAGGCATGGGCGGTTTAATTATCCAGATTTCAATCTGGACAACACTTGAGCGGTTTAAACAAGAACTCTCATAAAATGCAACAAAATTCATGATAACCAGTTCCAAATGCTTATCAAACTGTATGTAAGCAATTCATTTCCAAAACTCTTAATACACTCACCTTTAGAAATCGAGAATCAAAGCCTTTGAAATCCTCTTTCTGTGCAATCCTCTTGATTCTTCGGAGAAAATTTCTAAAAGTATTATGTGTGTGTGTATCCTTTTCTTCACAAAATCTATTTATATATAAATAAAAAGGAGGAGAGGTGATGGGGGGCTCATCTAGCCGACCTCCCCCCTTTTTATTTAAAAACAAATAAAATTTTAATTTAACACCAAAAATATTACACACACACATACATAACTGTATACACATATATAAATATATGTATAAACTTGCAATATAACAAGAATATTACAATATTCCCTCCTTAAAAGAATTCCGTCCTGGAATTCCATTAAGTAAACAGATAAGGATATTTCATCCTCATTTCCGATTCTGATTCCCAGGTGGCATCTAGTCCCTTATGAAAACGCCATTGAACCTTTACTAACCCAATCTCTTTGTTTCGTAACTTCTTTACTTTGGAATCAGTAATTTGTTTAGGGGTTTCTTCAAAATATAATCTCTCATCTACCTTAATCTCAGGTAATGGTACTGCCACATCTGGACTTATTAGACACTTCCTCAAATTTGACACATGAAACGTGTCATGAATTCCACTWAATTCCAAAGGAAGTTCTAACTTATAGGCCACTTCCCCAATTATTTCAATAATAGGGAATGGTCCAACATATCTTGGACTTAATGTAACACCCCCATATTCCACATTTGCATAAACACATATTTCATTACATAGACACATGAATTACATCAGAAGGTCCCACTAGTACAAGAATTGCTATATGTACAAAATCTACATATAAAATTTCCAAAACAAATCTTGTACTACCACATGTAATATAACATGTAACTTCCAAAAGCAGACAATAGGTTAGGAAAATAATCACATTTTCCCTTTCCCTTTTATATCCCCGGACCCAGCTATTCCTGCATTGCATAATTTAAAACAGAAAATGAGGGTTGGACCATACGGGTCTAGTGAGTAAATCTCCTATTTGCAAATGCAGGGTGACAACCACCAAAATATGATNAAATGATACTAATTGGGTAATATTTAGTTTGATCAGACATTCATGGGTTTAATGAGCTTATTTCTCCAATTTGAGTGTAATTGAGTTACAGTGGTACTAAATGGGTCATAATTAGTCTAATCAGAAGTTAATCAGGGCGATTGAGGTATAATGGGCTTATTTCTCTAATTTGAAAATAATTGAGTTATAATGGTACTAAATAGGTCTTATTATTCTAACCAGACATTAATAAAGGTGATTGAGGTAGAATGGGTAATAATGGTCGTTAAAGGGTCCATTTGGTGTTACTGGATATAATGGCCTATTTCTCCTCAAGAAGTTCATTTGGGTCAAAATGACACTAAATGGGTTATAGTTAGTCTGACTTGACGTTAATGTGACTAACTGAGGTAGAATGTGTCCATTTGGTGTTTTTTTTTTGAACGGAAACCAGACAATTTTATAAACAGTAAAGGGAAATACTTCAAAGAGTGTCCATTTGGTGTTAGTGGGTTTATAATGGGACAACCAGATTAGATCGAGTCATTTGGGTCAAAATCATGATACGTGGATCGTAATTAATCTCGTTAGAGACCCTTGATAGGCATATTTCTCCAGAAGGAGTCTACTGAAAGGGGAAAGATCCCCAGGCAATTTTATAAAACAATAAAAGCGTAACCGTTTTAAAGCAATCAGCAAGAAAAACTACGGCAACTTTGACTCACAAACCAAGCCATATGGAGCCAAAAATGACAAAGAGAAGTACACCAAAACATTAAAATAACGCAAGCCAAAGAGAAAAAGGTGAAAAAAACCCACAATTTCCCAAACCGAGAAGGCACTCCACCCACGAAATCACACAGCATTTGTTGGCGTCAACTTCTTTCTTGTCTTCCAAGCCATACGTTGAAGAATCTGCATCTTGATCTCCGCTACAACTTTGTCCCCAGAATGATTAAAGTTGTCAAAAAACTTCCTGTTTCTTTCCCTCCAGATATGGTATACCGTGGCCGATATACCAAGTTTTTGAACCGTAGACCAAGATTTCCATCTTTGAGCTAAACCCCTGTTAAGAATATCCTCCCAATTGTTCGGACAGTTCGTTAATCCCACCACCTTTTCAATGAGTTCCCAAATACTACTTGAGTAATTGCATTCAAAAAATAAGTGATTGTGTGTTTCAATCACTAATTTACAAAACACACATTTCAAATCCGGCGGTTCATGCTTTCGACTGACTGATGCAATCTTGAGTTGGTAATTTCTTCTGACAAGCCATCCACATGCAAAGAGCATGTTTAGGTATGTATGCTTTATTCCATACCAGCTTATACCAATGCACAATCGGCCTCACTTCTTGAACAGTTTTCCATGCCACTTTGACCTCAAAATTTCCCCGATAAAGTTTAGCATCAAGCCATCTGACCGTATCCTCCATTTGGCTGGGAGAAGGTATCAAAATACTTTGCAGCTGAGGATATTGTTGTATCCAATCAACCGGCCAATTAGTGCCAAAGCGTTGCATTACATCAGAAACCGTGGAGTTATTATGAAATCCATGACCATTTATGAATCTATAAGACAGTAATTGAATAANAACGAGGTGGACCCGTAGTGGATTGATAACCAGACACAAGTTCATGCGCCATAAGAATATTATCCGTAATCCTTCACAAGTTCACAACGAGGTGGGTCCATTTGTTGTTTTTTTTTTTGAAGGAAAAACTTCGGCAAATTYATAAAAATGCAATAAAAAGTTTTACAACGCAACCAAACAGAAAGACCGCAACCTACAATAAAAAATCCCAAGGCCAAAGGAAACACCCCAACCTAGCCACAACAAGCCAAAACAAACAAWGCCCATAAGACTCAAACAAACAACCAAAGAAGATAAGAAAGAGAAGCGTAACCCAAACCAACACCTCCCAGAACCAAACACAAGCCTTCAAATCAACCATAAGTAAGCACAGGACGACACGCCAACCAATCTGCTCGAATGGAGATAGATTCCCTAATAACAGCAGTAAGATCTTGAACCGTACGCTTAGTCGCAGAAAAAAGTCTTCTATTGCGTTCTTGCCAAATATAGTAAAGAGTAGCCGCCACACCAAGTTTCTGCTTTAACAGCTTCGGACGAATATTAGGATCCGAAATAACTTGGACAATCTGTTCCCACCTTGAAGGCATACCCGTCATATCCATCAAAACTAGAACACTAGTCCATACAGCTCCTGCATACGAACATTGAAAGAATAAATGATCATGACTATCCAAACATTGACCACACAGTGAACACTCCATATCTGGGGGCTCATCCTTCCAATGTAAACGGTCTTGAGTYGGAAGCCTTCTCTGACAAGCCAACCAAAAACAGAAGGCATGCTTCGGAATATGACCTGAGAACCAAACCAATTTAGACCAAGGGATCACAGGATGATTACCCTCTAAWGAAGCCCAAGCCTTACCTACTGTAAAATCCGAACACAAATTATAAGCATCTCCCCAAAGAACTCTATCACAATCAGAAGTCAATAAAGGAAGCGGAGAATTTTGAAGCATATCAAACCGTTCACACCAATCATCAGGCCAATTACCATTCCATCTTATAATAAGATCACGAACCGTCGTTAAGGTAGAAAACCACAAGAATGGACAAACCGGTAAGAGATAAACGCGGATAGAGGGCCACAAGATAACCAAGCATCCTCCCAAGCATTCGTGTTCCAACCGTCACCAATTTGAGAGAAAAGAAACCGACGTAAATGAATCCGCAAGTCTAGTAGCTTACGAAAAACCCAAGACCAATTAGAATTCTTACGAACCATCCAGAAATTCGAAGAACGGAGATTATTACTATAAATCCAACGAACCCACATAGAATCCCGTCGCCTAGCAATATCCCACACATGTTTTGCAAGTAAAGCCCGATTCCAAGTAGAAAGCCTTTTAATTCCAAGACCCCCAGATTCCAGTGGCCTACAAACCGTATCCCAAGATAACCGACATTTACCACGCAGATCTTCCCTCGGAGCCCAAAGGAATTTACGAAATATAGATTCTAGATCATGAATAATACCAGAAGGAAATAAGAAAACCGACATCCAATGAAGCTGGAGAGATTGAAGAACCGATATAATAAGCTGACGCCGACCACCAAACGAAAGAAACTTAGATTTCCAATTAAGTATA